ATTCAAGCGCAAATATTTACATTTTTTTCGAAGATTCACCTACTGCATGTGGAAAAAATCGTTTACATTACGCAAACTTTACTATATTATTTGAATTAAGCTAAGCTGAGATAGCTATACTTTAACATGGATAGACAATTGAGGTCATGCTGTGGCCCAAGAATTTCTATTGAAGGCATCGCCTAAGCTTCGCTCACATCTGTAAACGCAAGAGAAGAGTCTCCTGTTGACAGTTTCTGCAGAAAAGTTGAGCCGTTCATTATGCAGAAAATCAAAAACCCCATGATTTTTTACTTTGAGTAAAATGTGGAAAAAACTGACAATTATGATTTTAGTTTGTTCTCCTCGCCGCAAGTCTTGCTTTTTATCCTTATTTTTATACTGCTTGCGGCTACAAGATAGGCCACTCATAATTTATACAAGCTTTGGAGCTCATGATTTGTCAAGAGAGGTTTTAGAAAATGTCTTTTTTGGTGTTGTCTTTTGTGTGTTTTGTTGTTTTTGAATGTTAAGAAACGAAAAAGGCTTTTCAATCCATATTTTTTGAACGCTTGTGATATTGGTACAGGTCGATGTGCGCTGCGAAGATTTGATGCTTCTGATGCTTTTTATGGCAATGGAAAAAATGAATTTTTTAGAAAGTCTTAAGACGTCAAACTTAGAATCCTCTTTGAAATGTCTGAGCTTCACCAAGATTGCTCTTTTTCCTGCAAGATAATAAGGCGTTTGGACGCATAGATCTCATAAGTTTCTCAACTGGCTCTGACAAGTTGGCCGAAACGTTAGCTTAGTAAGCGTTGTAACAATCTTGGTGAAGGCTCAGATATTTTACAAGGATTACTGTTAATCTGCCAAGATTCATCGAAAATCGTACATGAAATTTGATGAAACTTAAAATTCGCGAAACGCTCACTATTTCATCAACCAATAAACATTATAAATAAAGGTTATCAGCTCCCTGAACATGAGAATGACATGACCCATAATGAGAAAAAGATGCTTGTCTATATCTTTGTTGAGACTAATAAACGCGAAAAGCTATAAAACGCATTGTTCAATTCTGAAATTTGCAGCACCAGAATATTATCCACTATTATCCAATATTATCCTCCAATATCATCCACTTCTTTTTATCATTTTCCCCGTCCAAGTTTTGGTTGAATCACAACCCATGATCAATGAGAAAATCTCAGCTTTGCGTTTTGTCCCAGATAATTACTAATTCCCTCAAGATAAGTCACTGTAAAAACAGTCTACGCTGTTGTCGCGGGTTGTTGAACATGAATCGCTGTTCTTCCTTCGTTAGAGATTGTTTCGCTTCTACTCACACTTCAGAACTTATCCACGAAGCATGCTGAATGTTCCAACTGGACAATTGATATTGGCTTTATACGCATGGATATCTACTGCTGCGTATATCTATTTGGTGTGCAAAATCATTCATTGGCGTAGAACTTACAAACACTTCCAATCTTCCTATTATCTGCTATTCCTTCTGCAAGCGGCAGCGGATCTCCATACATTTATAGCTATAGAATTCATTTTGAGACCGAGAAGATACAATTATTTCAAGCTATTTACTGTTTATATGCACGACTTTGCAAAATTCTCGTTCTTTTGTTTGGGAAATGCAAGGACTTTGATATGCAGTGGGCATATTATCATCGCTATAAACCGATTCACATCAATGTATTACCCCTTCAGGCAGGAACTGGTGTGTTATTGTGTTAAGTACGTAACTTAGTGTGTGCAAATCTAAGTCCTTTCAGTTAAATTAATTTTTTACATTGACGACAACGCAAGTTTTTGACTGTCTGCCTTTTGGGACCAAGACCTTCCACGGACCAGTCAGCATTCCTCAGATAAAACCTCGCATACTGCCATCTAAGTACGCCTACGTGGCTGTGGAAGGCTGACAAAGAAGATATAGGTCATTTCTAGATTTACAGCAAAAGAATACTTCTGGAATAAGTTTGTATTAAAATAGTCGTCAATTCAACAAAGTCCAAGCCTTGACACACCATGTGTGTCAAGCGGTCCCACGTGGCAGTCATTGCTTGACACACATGGTGTGCCAAGCGGTCGTCAATGTGTTAAGAAATTCGGCGATGAGCCCAGGAATTCTCGAACGTCTACCTTGTCTAGTTGACATCAAAATATCTTCGAATATTCGTATAATGATTTATTTGAACTACTAGGTCCTTTTTAAGTTCGTAGAGTTTTCATTTTCGTTCTCATTTCTCTGACGGTCAGTTGATTTGCGGCAAGATGCCTATAACATTGAGGAGAGCTGATCACTTTCAAAGTAAACCAGTCACTTTTGATGAAAGCTGATCTGCTTTGATACTTCTTCCAAACAGGGATTTCTCAAAGGGCAAACAGAAGTATTTTCGGCCTTGCTCATTTTTTGTCATGAAAAAAGGCATTTTGCACGGATTTTTTGCCGATTCTAAGCAATGGCATTTTCTCGTCAAGGATTGGATTGCTTTAAAAAACAGAGAGTTTGCAGGGTGTTGCCTAAACAAGACTTCTTGCCGGTTGAGCAGGAGCTTCTGCAGTGAAAATAGCTAGACAAGAACAAGACGGTAGCCTTTATTGTACGCAACGCGACTACAAAGTCTAAACGAAACCCCACTGTAGAAAAGGCCTAATAAATAGGTTCAGTGAGCTTTATTGCGCGACAATACTTGGCCCGCTAGGGGAACCCTGGTTATAGCTGTCTTGCAAGACTTGATCGAGAGGTACATTAGTATCTAGAGTATTCCTGAGAGCCCTAGCAAATTATTAACTGTTTCAATCTATCTCAAATCATATGGACGGCGTCTGTTTTGACTCTGAAAATGGGCTCAGGCGATGGTTAGTCGACTCTTTTTTGAGCAGACCCACTCAGGACTCAGCAGAGATGGCGCTTTCACAAGCTGGATGTCGTTTTCCTTGAGAAAAGCAAAAGGGAACTCGTAAAGTTCCGAGAAGTGATTCGCGGAAATCTGATCAAATACCAGTGAACGGAAGCTAACCTTTAGTAAGCTCTTATTTCAACTCTGACGTCATTTTAAAAGTAACAGGTAGATTGACACGTTACAAGCAGGATAAGTGCTCAGACCTGTGTGCACACGATTTCAACGTGTTAAAACACAATCTTTATTCACAAAAAATAAATAATCGGTTTGTTTACAAACGGTAGCAAAATTGAAATACCAAATATGGTGTGAGCTTCGCGACCACGATAAAAAGGAAAGTATGAAGGATTATAAAAAAAATTATGGAATGAAAAGAGTTGTAAATGTTTTCTAGTTCAGGTTGCTCCCGTTCAACCTGGGAGCAGTCTGAGGCTGCACAGAACCAGAAGTCATAATTTTGTCCTTCTTCACGTAATTTTTCAAAATTCTTTGCATAAATCTATTGTTCAGTTCGAATTATACCCATGTGTACCTACCTTAACCCAAATTTCGTCCTCCCTACTTTGCTACGGCCCATGAATGATATAGAAACCGTTTCTTTTTCTCGTTTTGATTCGATTTTCCTTGTCGATTCTTAACTTCCATTCACTCATCGTTCGCTGCGGGTTATTAGCATATTTCTACGAACACCACAAAGGGTATATCGTAATGTTCTGCGATTGCAAGGGGGAAGTCGTTTTCAAAGTTCTTAAACGCCACCTCGTGATGAGGTCCTGGAACCACTGAATCATGGAAGAACAAGAATGAAGGTCTGGTAACATGATGGCGGAAGGTTCTGCGCAACATCGGAACAAACTTAGTTGGTTGATTTGCTAAAAATTGTGATTTCGTTAATTTATCAAAATTCTACGAACTCACGAAACGACTTAATAGAATAGTCGAATATCCAGAAAAGTGCATTTATTTGATTATCTGAGTAGTCGAGTATCGGAAACATCGGTATTTAGGACGCCATAGGGTAATCAGCAGAGTCCGCTGATTTTGAATCGCGGTAAACTTATGATTAGAGTTATAACTTAGGGCCGCATGCACTAACAACCCCGCTGGGGAGGGGATCGCAGCTCAGAAGAAAGCTTCATATTCTGAAGCTCCAGATATCTGGATTTCACGCCGTCTACCTGTCCGTAAGTATTCCTACTACCCTTCACTATGAACATGTTGAAGAGGAGCAAGAAGCTGTACAAGCCGCGTTTTCCAGCTTTTGTATGATCCCTGACGATCCCCGATGCTTTTCTTCAAAGTCATTTTTCTTCCTTTGAAGTTAACGAAAACCTTCCAAAGTTGTACTAATTATCTAACACAACAGTGCTAAGCATGTTACTGATGAGAACAAATGAGTTCTTGAAAAATCGAATTTTTCGATGAACCACAACTTTCGACTTGTGGATCATCGCAAATTTCATGACTCCGGTACATCACTTGTTCTTATCAGCAACATGCTAAGCAGTGTTGGGTTAGATAATTTGCACAACTTTGGAAACTTTTCGTTTACTTTGGAGAAAGAAAAATGACTTTAAAGAAAAGCGCCGGGGATCATCAGGGATCATACAAATGCTGGAAACTGCGGCTTGTGCAACTTCTCGCTGCTGTTCAATATGTTCATAGTGAAGGATAGTAGGAATACTTACGGTTACGTATACAACGTGAAATCCAGATATCTGGAGCTTTCTTTCGAGCTGCGATCCCCTCCCCGCGGGGATGTTAGTGCATGCGGCCCTTACAGTTATTACAGTAAATCGTAGGCTCCATGCAACAATGATTCGAGAATAAAGCAGCATGTTTATAAGCTGTAATCAAAGCTGTAATAGAACATGAATTAGCATCATGATATCAAATTATTCTTTGTGTTGTGACACGCCGAAACTCATGCAAAAAGAACAAAATACTACTAAAAAATAGTCTGTCCTACGAAAAGCTATTCACTTGATTTGGCAGCAATAAGTGCTTTAGAAACTTTGGCAAATATTACCATTCTCAAGGGATGCATAATTGCCCAACCATCATCACCACAGATTGCAGATTTGGACATATCGTAAGACGATGCTGTCTATGTTGCTTCTTTGGTTAGTGCTCATATCAACATCCTTACCGTATTTGATATTTTCCAACAATGTCTTTTTCTCATCACGCCCTGGTGGTGTTATCATGCTTTCAGCAGGTGCAATGCTTGAGGTTAAAAAAAATCGTTTACCTTGTCATCGATATGTACAACAAATTACAGTACTCAACATGTCAGAATGCAGTTACAAACTTGATAACCATGATAGTTTGCACATTTTGTTATGTGGGCTGCTACTTAAAGATACGTGATTCCGAAAATGGAAGCAGGGTCTGTGAATTTTTGCTTTTAGGCTTGTATTCTCCTCTACAGTGAGTAATTTCAGGTCATTGATAGAAGTTTGTTCTTCTGCGCGTGGTTTCAACAATTCCATTCTGCGTCGAGGTTTTGCGCTCGATAATGGTTGTTGCGTCGTTTGAAGTGAAAAATGATCTCTACGAGATGTCCATAGAGTTTTGGTTAGTCCAAATAGAAGTTGAAGGATACAAGAAAATCTTTCAAGCTAAAATAAAAGCATTATCTTACCTCATCCTAATTTCGTTTTACATACGCCTGGAAAACAATTTGAAAAAAATCTAATTTGCCGCAGTTTTCTCATTTTGGTGTCTGCAGTTGTTAGTGTTACTAAAGCAAAGCTTACTCAAAGTCCCACTGCGACAATCTTTGTGGCTTTGCATTCAGAACTTTGCTGTAAAAGGCACAGGGGGGGGGTCTTTGCTTCATGCAAAGCCACTGAAGAAGTCACAGAAGTCTGATCTGTGCCGCTTTTACCGCTGCATTGGAAAAAGTAGGATGAAGCAAAAAAGCTACGAATCCACCTGCACCTCATACAGGCATGGAAGCAAGCTGCAAAAATGTCGTTTCTTGGGATTTTTATTCAAGGCCACGGCCATGACTGAGTCCAACCAGGGAAGAACTCCAGTTTTTTGATGAGCATCATTGTGGCTTTTGCTGGTGTGTGCAATAATTAAAAATCTTTTTTGTGGCTTTCTTGAATGTAACTCTCTTGTATGGGGTAAACGAATCATACAATTTTCCATGATGTAGAAAACTGAGTGCCTCCAAACAATTTTGACTTCATTGAATGGCCGCTCGCATTAACTTATATATCATATGTCATGAATTTATCATGACTTCTGATGCTAATACTTGCTGCTTTGCAGGTACTACGAAGCAGAAGTACTCGCGACATCATCAGTATGGATGCAATTGCTTATCAACGGAAGCGTTCGCAGCCATCTGCTGGATAGGAATCGATCTCATCCGATATCTCTACAACTGCTCTAACCGTCATCTGACCAGAAGGATAGTTTATGCTCTTACGAAATGTAACAAATATTCAAATTATCTTGAGACCAAAAATTCTACAGAATAAATTATCATTTCTCCGGAAATGCTTTTCTATTCAGTGCGCTTATCATGCAAACTTCCGTACTCTGTTGTATTTGTTTTTGTAGTTATAAAACGCCACCAGTTTGAGGTGTTGAGCGTTTCGAAATTCTCAAAATTTTCAATTGCATAACCAATTGTCTCTGACATGGAAATTAGATGATATCGCTAATTGTGCGGGTAAACTTGCGAACAATTTGTATTGTAAAAGAGTTGATGAATGAGTATTCAAAGCAATGGTTCTCGCGTATTCTCCAAGTTGGAACTAAATGTTCGTATCCGAATAAATTATTCGAAGTATTTGGCTGTTCGAAAAAGTGCACATATTCGATAATTCGTGTAGTCGAATGAGTGGAAAACAGCTTGGAATACTCATTCGTTCGCGCAATCGAAAAAATGGCTTACTATTGGCTTATGATATTGGAATGTTCGGGAAACTTTGAAAGACAGCTATTCAATTATTCGGATATTCAAGAAATTTTGAAAAACAGTTGTTCGAATTTTCGAATATTGGAGCAAGAGGAAAGTACATGTTCAAATAAAGTGTTAAAATGCTTATTCGCATGTTTCATATGCGAGCTTTTTTGCATATTCGGATACTGCATTCTAATTTTCGATTATTCGAATGCAACATTTAATTATTTGGTGATATTCAGTTATTCGATTATTCGAATAGTGAATATTCATCAGGTTCAGTTATTCGAATGCTCAAACACACGAATCTTGGAATCGGATTCGAATGCTCGAACTCGAGTCTGAAAATCGAAAATTCAATAATATTCGTTCATTCGGAAAATTCTCGAAAAACAGTTATTCGATATTTATTCGTTTAAAAAATTTCCAAAAATCAATTATTTGAAACTGGTTCATTTGATGAATTGATGAAAATTTGCGTCCGTTACGAATATACCTAAGGCCTAAGGCATACCTCCGCGATTCGGTCGCTGCGTGATTTGGCACAACAGCGACTCTTCGTAAATCGTTGTTGATGCGCTGCCTTTGGTCAGAAAACCTGATCCGTTTGCAACAATTTTAGACATACCCAAATATGCGTTCGAGAAGAACGCACGACAAATATGTAGAAATGTGGCAAATTGCCAAGTCCGAAAAGTGGCGGTTCAACCGAGTGGCGTGAGGTATGCCTCAAGGCGGGGGGCACGCGGAAGGCGACAATCGGCGAAAAATGGAGGCTGTGTAACATCCCTCTCAATGACTTTCACGGATTTCTACTTGTGGCATTGAGTAATGTATCTGCCCTCACCCCCTACCCCCGGGGTGTCACTTTGATACCGGAGAATTTTTGACAGGCACAAAATTGGGGATTGTCGCCTTCCGCGCCACACCCCCTCAAGGCTAACATGTAATACTTCCTAAACGACATAATTTCGCGATGCTTGCGATGCGATAAGATCCTGTGCGGGCAGTTCACAGAATCTCTTTGCACACACAAAAATAATTTTGTAGCACTTGTCACTACGGTATTCGGTTTTTCTGTTGAGCGTTCATATCTCTCATTATGCAGTCTGCCATTCGGCCTGCTGGGATTATTCTAACAGATCTATACTCTGTTCGTCATGTAGTTGTTTCCCTAGCGTAGATGTTGTGATTAAAACACTTCGTTGCGTTTGTATACGTATATCATAGCCGATAACCAAGATTGTTAAAACATTGACGACCATGCAGATTTTTAGCTGTCTGCCTTTTGGGACCAAGGCTTTTTACGAAACAGACCACTTTTTCAACTATAATTACGCATACTGCCATCTACAGTACATCTACAGTAGATTTGAAAAGCTGACAACAAAGGTAGAAGTCATTCCTAAATTCTATGCAAAAGAAAGCTCATGGAATGAGTTTATTTCAGGACAGCAGTCATTTTACCAAAATACAAGCCTTGACACATATGGTGTATCAAGCGGTCCCACGCGGTAGTCATTGCTTGACACACCATGTGTGTCAAGCAGTCGTCAATGTGTTAATACGCTTTATTCAGTCAGGTCAGACCAACGTTTCGGTGATTTCACTTTCGTCAGAGCCGGGAAGATCGCACACATTAGTGGTTTGCTCCCTCAAACACCTCGTTCAAGCCAAGGCTACACTTAGCATTAGGCTAGTCTGAAAGCAGTGACGAAAATCATCGTCAATGCTCACCTCGGCAATCTTCGAATCAGGGTTGATTAACCACCAAACACAGCGTCTGCACAGTTAATAGTAGCGAAAACCAGTATAATTGTCTTATATAGATGACTCTAATCTCGGTGTAGATCGTACTCGCAAAGGAACTAATACAAGATCACATCACTATTTATGGCAACGCCCTCTTCCTTGCGGTTAATTGCAGGAGCTTTGGATGTTCAAAAATGCTTCCAGCGTTTGGAACAATTTCGAATACACGCATTAAGATTGTGACAGATATATAAGATTCTTGGTTTGGGTGTTCCTCTCTGCGATGTGCGCCTAGGGGGGGGGGGTGTTGGATTTAGATTTTGTAAGACCATCTAGGTGCTCTTTGATTCTCACACATAGAGGTCTGCCAGTCTTTCCTATGTTTCCCGCAAATTTCACAATTTATCTGGTAGACTACTCCTGCCTCCATGCAATCGCCTGGTTGTCCAAATGGGCAGACGACGCAATCAATACTTGTGCATAATCGGTCATAAGAGCGATTACGAACTAGTGTTGCTTTTTCACACTGGGAAGGGAGCGCGGAATCTCTATGATTCTAAGGAGTCTTTTAGGCCTGCAAGTTCTAAACTTTTTCTTATCGCTTTGCTGAAATCTTCAAACATGAAAGGAACACAAAAAGGTATTTTGACTTCATTCTTGCTTGTGCGCGGTCTGTATTCTTGCCAGGTACGTTGCGATGAATGGTCCATGGAGTAACCATTGGACTGCGCAGTTTTCTGGCAAGACTCCACGATGTAGCGCGTTCCTGATCGGACAAAACTGCCTTGGCAGTCCTAAACATATTACAAATTACCGACCTTTTTGCGCTCCAAGTCTGGGCCAAGAGATAGTGGACTAATTTATTTTTGCTGCTTGGTTTTTGAAACCACTGGTCTTGTATGATCCATCAATTGCACTTGTACGTTAAGAGGAGGCAGCCAGTCGCGGGGCTTCTCTCGCGTGAACTTTATGTGCGGGGATTGATTGTTTAGGAGGTTGAAGCAAGTGTCTAGTTTGTTTTGTGTTGCGCACATTATACAACAATCTTATATATAAAGCTGAATGTCTGTTTGTCTGTCTGTCTGTATGTCTGTATGTCTGTCTGTACGAATGTTCCGAATAGAAAATTCCATTTCTGAACCGATCCGGACCAAACTTGGCACACATACACTTCGGGCCCCGGCGGGTGTCATAGGCTACTTTTCGTTATCGATCGATATCAATTTTATCGATTTTTTGCAAAATTTGAGCTACTGGGAGTTGGCACAGGGGGGTAATCGAGCATGCTGATTACGAATATAATAATGACAGGGCCGGGCGGAGCCGGGTAAATCAACTAGTTATCTATATAGCGGGAATAAAGTATTGGATTGCGCGCAAGTACGGGGCTCTCGATTTTCAACATATAGGCAATGGCAACGACAGGTGCCAGACTCTGGCCCATTGTCATTCTCCTGATTTGTTTAGAGTACTGTCCACACCATCGTAAAATGCTTAGCGGTGCCTTACTGACTTGCTCAAGGAGCATGCTAGTATTTGTTAGGTGAGCAAGAAAATATATTGCGTGAGAATCAAGTTTAGTAGCCAAGATATCCTATCACTGGGACCACCACAACTGCTTACAATGCCTTATTTTGAACTTTGCTGGGCCCAAGGAAAGGTAGCAGTGAGCTTGTGTATACTGATGAGCACGTGAAGAACAAGACATTTAAGCATATTGTTTCTTAGATGTGATATCAACATTTTTGGTAAGCCTACAGAGTTGCGGTATCTGTCCATAGTCTATTCAAGCGGCGATACTCTTTTGCAAATTCGTTCTGGGAGGAAGCCTGGTACAACGTCTCATCATTCGAGGATGTCTTGTTATGGCCTTCGTTGTTGGTCATTCAGAGTATATATCAAGTATTGGCCTCAAGAAACACCTTTTTCTCATCTAAAATTAAAAAAAATTAAAAATTCGTTATAAATTCGGGAAGTGCACTGAAATTTGTTTTGCGGATTGTTGCTGTATACAAAGTAATCGAGATCAAGAAAAATAACATCAAATGTCGTCTTTTCTTTCTTGAAATCCTTTTAGTTTTCTGTAGATTACCCATATGAAGTACCAAGCTCTCATAAGAAACCGTTATATGCAAAGTAAATCAGGCCTTACATGAAATCAAAAGATGATTAGGGAGTGGATATCACGCAGTAGCATGTTCGTGAATTTCCAAAAGGATGATATGGAAGGAATTTTGATCAAATCCTTACATTTGCTGAGGGGATCTCTCAAAATGCTTCAGACTCAAATTTTCATACATTTTCATAGACATTCTATCTTATATGTTTGTTATTCTTCTTCTGTCTGTTAGTAACGCACATCTTGAGGAAGATCAAAGAGTTCACGACTGAGAGGCAAGGCTCTATTCAATATTTGCACATGCTGTTTAACTCAATCCAGGCCTCAGCAGAGGTAGCGCTTTCACACGCTGGATGTCTTTTCTCAAAGGAGAAAGCAAAGGGGGACTGGAAAAGTTTACCTGTCGAAATATTAGAAAGCAGAACTCTAACTCTTAGCAAGCCCGAATGTGGAGGTCTAAAGTGACTTTACCACTTGCAGGCAAATTAAAACGTTACAATAACGACGAGTGCATAAACCTGTGTGCACACGTTTTCAACGGCCAAAATACAATCTTTGCGCGCAAAAATATAAACA